ACCAAGCTTTCTGGAATACCCCCCTGCTCACCTGAATTCATCCTAATATGACTCACCTTTGTTGCCAGGAGCTACTGGGTGGGGCTTACAGCGATACACTTTGCTGATTGGCTGACCACAAGTACTGCCGCTAAGCTTGGCAGTTACGTGGTGTGGGAAAGAGATAAAAGCAGGGGAGCAAAATTGAGCAGATAGATTTATTTTCGTGTCTCGGTTACATTATATGCATTTATGGATACACTTTTTGCTTGTGTCTCCATCATATTTCTGAATTGGAAAATCCTATTGATAACCAACATACTTCTGTCTAATATTGGCAGGGATGGAGGTGATACCAGCCAGCGCTTATTAGCGGAATAATGCTACATAATTTTTTACTAGTTGAAAAATGAAGGATCGATCTGCTGGCCACATTTAATAATGGGCTATAAACATGTCGTAGGGTATATAAATAAAATGTAATTTGTCCTGTATTTTAGGACCGCATTAGGGTGGTGATGGTGAAGCTAAAACATAGGAGTTTTTTGTCCCATTCGTATCCAGCGTAACAGTCACAGTTCCTGGTGTGTGGTGAGAAAGCGACATACAGGAGTGGGCAGGAACTACAAAAGCTCCAGAAAATTTGAACCAAGAACTAGGTTACTGAACTTCAGTGGGAAAGCGCCATGTTATAGTTAACATTTACTGTAAGATCTCTAAATGGTCTATACATTATGTACGGCACCACATTTAAAGGTGTTGCTAGCTTATATGAGCTAAAACTAGCCCTTCCCCATCTTCCAGGCTGACAGCTGGACATACTGGCTTTCACTTTGCACCTTCTCGCCATTCTCTTGACCTACTGTGGACGAGTAATGGTCCAGCACCGTGAGACCCGCCAGCCCGCTTAGGCTCCACAAGAGGCGATCACACAGGCCGGGGTGGGCCAGCACCGTGAGGCGATCACACAGGCCGGGGTGGGCCAGCACCGTGAGGCGATCACACAGGCCGGGGTGGGCCAGCACCGTGAGGCAATCACACCGGCCGGGGTGGGCCAGCACTCCGCTCTGACACTGCAGTCTGGATTCCCTCTAACTCGCTGTGCCATCGCGCAGGGAAAGGCGGATGCAGCACCTGCGCCTTTGCCGTCTCACCCTGCCAAAGAAGCTGGGCATCTGGGCACTGGCCTGCTGTCAGGGGGGCAGCCAGGTCCCAGCTGGCCAGCTTGAAGTTCTGTGGATTATGCAGAATTAATATTGTAATCCATTTTCTGTCATCTGCGACTGATATGATGCCATATTGCCGTTTGGGTTTCTCTGGCCCGCCTAGATATGGGACCACAGGGAAGTCACTCTAGACGTCTACTTTCAATTTAGAGCCACAGATTTTTAGAAATGATTTTTAGAAATGATTAATCAGTATTATGTTTTATTTATTTCTGTTCTTTTTGATCCTTTTTGTTTTGTTTTGCAGGTCATTCTTTGAAGTAATTATACTCATTCAAAGCATACCTTGCTCTTGCTTAGAATAGTATGAAAACCTTTTCATAGTAGAGCTTTTGAGGCACTTGTTAATGCTTAGTAGCTCCACCAAGAGTATCTTAGATATCTTGTATCAGACTTAAGAATATGGCTGTGGCTTCCTGAATGAAGTTATGATTATGTGTCATTATTTAAAACTCTTAAGGGTGTACATTTGAATCTAGGACAGCACTGAAAAATCATGTCAAACTGGAGTTGATAGTTCATAGTAACAGGCAGTTACCGTGAAAGCATGACCTTCTGTGTCTAGAGAAAGCAGCACCACATTACAGTGAGTCACTGCCATAACTTGGTCACCTTGACCTCACTGGAATTCCTTCTTAATGTCCTGATGATCGCACAGTGTAGAGCACTGTGTAAGGTTTGTGCCACCCTGTATAAGGAGCTCACTGAGCGGTAGCTGAGTGCATCCTCTTGAGTGTAGATGCAGTTCATCGCTTGAGAAATACAGATTGTGCTGATGAAACAGGAACTTGGGACCTAAGTTTGGACATAAAGTGTTTTCAGATACGTGCCGTAGGGGTTTAACAATGCGCTGCAGTACAATATTTCATAATTCAAAAATATAAAGATATGCATTGTAGGGGTGTAATGATGCACTTTGGTATAAAATCATTCATTCATGTTAATGCAAAAGGGTGCAATAGGCACAATCTTAGCTTTGCTTTTACTTTGAGATTTTATTTTTAACATTTTGCTCTGGAGCAGAATAAGGAAAAAACTGCAAGAAAAAAGGAGCTGTTTGAAAGCATTTTTTTTTGTAAATGGCATAAATAACTGATCTTAGTTTGTTTAGAGTCTTATTTTGTTGAATGTATTGTGAGTGTATCAAACCGTGAGCCCTGAATTGTCTTTTGAACCAAATTGTGAGTAGGCTGCATCGTTACACTCCTAATAGACTGTGTTTCAGTGGCTGTTTGCATGACTAGCCCAAGACACTGCCCAAGTCTCACTCAGTACTTTTATACTGGCTTATACTGAAAAACCTACAATTATCTGTTTTGTCTCCGGGGCTAATTCTGAATGCACTGTTTAGGGATTCTCAATGATTAATGGATATTCCTGGTTTGCGATACCAAGAGTTGGGGAGAACATACAGTCAGTTTCCTGAGAGAATCAGTGACCCTGTGAGACTTAATGGGAATGAAATGTTAGACCACCCATTGGCCACACAAGGCTGGAAGGCATCTCGGTGACATCAGCATTTCACTTTAAAGGAAGTCCTCTTGAATGATCACATGACACGGGTTCAGTTCTGTGGGGTAGGGACTGATGTGCTTAGACTAGCATGGAAACCAAAAGGCCGCCTCAAATTGTGTGTGTTTTCTGAATGGCTGATGTGGCCATTGAGGGGTCCGGCGGCGTCCTGTCCCCAGAGCTGCTGAGAGGTTTACCAGACCATTTGGGTGCTCAAGGTGAACCTTGGCACATATTATGCCACGTGGCCTGCACACATAACATATGCATTGTGTAGAAATTTAATTTCATGCATGCAGCAAACTGTTTGCAGACGGTCTTTTCACCCCTCAAGGAGAGGAAGTTCTGTGATTAACTGGAAGTTATGTTTTCCCTCGTTATGTTCTCTTTTTAGTTAAAAGGAAATGACACGAAATACTGTATATTTTTTATTTAATGATACCAAAGTTGACCTACGCGGGTATATGCCTTTTACAGTGCCTGGTTGTATATCCAGGTTTTAACACAACATTAACAAATGAACAGTAGTGTCAGTGTTTACCAGCACAGCCCCCAGAAAATGACCTGGCTGCATGTTTGCATGCTTCGCAAATTTTTGCAATTTGTGTTGCCATGGCCGCAAAGTGCCTGGGCTTTCCGACATTGTCTTCCAGTAGTGATGCGAACTGATTACAGTGTGTCCCACAGTACAAGGTGCGAGTGGTGCTGATGAGTGGGAGCCTCATCAAGAGGGTTGACGTTCAGCAGTTGAGTGTGTCAGTGCCCCATAGCTGTGCTGTGAGCTGCATCTCTATTGGTTCCTGTCTTCGGTCAGTGAATATTTATCCAGCGATTGATGGCTCACTCACCTCCACTGACAGATACTCACTTTCCAGTGCTTTTTTTTGCTACATCAGTCCCTCTGAAGGGGTTAGGGTTACCGAATCGTCATTCTCCATCTGTGTTGGGCAAGCCATGCTGCCTATCTGTTGGTCTGAGAAGGAGAGCTACTATCCAGTAGGTTTTCTATCCCACTTGGCTACTGATGAGCCACACCTGCTCCTGGTATTTGCCTGAGAACAGGTGTGGCTCATCAGAAGCCGGGTAGGATAGAAAACCTACTGGAAGGTAGCTCTCCAGGACCGGAGTTGGAGACCCCTGCTCTAGAGGTTGGGTCAGTTGGGTCGAGTGAGCCATGGCGTTGACTCTGTGTGCCTAGTTTGAGTCTTCGTATGGACTGAGTTTTCCCTCTCCTCTTCAGGTTGTGTACCGGATACACACTGTGTCTCTAGCAGGCATCTGGACCCATGTGAGAGTCATGAAGGTTCCTGCATAGCGATTACAGACAGGACGTCATAGTGGACACAGGCGCCATGGAGCCTTACACTGAGACCCAAGGTGAACCCGACAAGACTCTGGTAAGTAAGAAGGAGATATGCTTCTTGCAGCATGGGTCAGCAACCCTGATCCTTTGGTAAAAGGTTAAAACCAGAAGTTAGCGACGGCAAACAGACATTTGTGTGTTTAGTATTCCGCAGAACAAGGAAATGAACACCTTTGGACCCTGGATATACATCAGTTCAGCTAAGCAAACTTGACAGTTCCTCTGCACACAGTGCAGAGAATGTGCACTAGTGTGAGAAATGAGCGTGCGACTGGTTTCACACCCTGAGACCACAGGGGGTGTCTGGCGTGCAGACTGCAATTAGCAGAGGCTCTGATCTCGCGTCAGTCTCTGGTCGAGCCGTCGTGTCCCTCCTTATCTACTGTGACTTCACAACGCTCACTCTCCCTGAGGGCACGATGGCATTCACGGTTCACAGTTACTAGACAAAGTGCCATTTAAAGATGGCCTCTGGATAATTATAATATAACGCAGGACTTCTCCTTCTCAGCTAGCGGGAAGGTGTGTCCTTTGTGAATTTGTCGGCTTTTCAGAATCACCTGCGTTATTGTCTGGCGTTAACATGCAAATAGGATCATGCGAGAGGTAATGGAAGGCAGAGGACTGTTAGAGTCATGTGTACGGTTTCTGGCCTCCAGTCGGCCCCTGTGATGCCTTCCGCATCCATCAGGACCGATGAAACCTTCACCGAAGAGAATAAACCGCATCACAGCACTGAACTGTTCCAGGTTACCGATGCATTACTGGTGCACTGATGCATTTTGTACTCGGTACAAAACGGTGGCGGGGAGTCTGGTGGAACTGCCAAGGTCAACGGAAAATTCTAGAAAAGACCCACGGAAGCTGCTGGAATCCATTCAACAGGGGTGTGGCGCCTCACACTGGGCGGACTGCAGGTTACCGTGCGGACGCGGTCAGCTTCCGAGAAATCCGACGCCCCACGCGGGCCGGGCGCCGCAGGCCGGGGCCTCTGGGATCCCTCTGGCAGAAGTGCTGCATTGTTCCATCGGCCGGTTCCCGTTTCTGGGGATTCTGATGCTTCACGGGGTTTTCAAGGAAAAAAACAACCACGGCTCTCTCCCAAGCCCCCCGAAGCGAGCGTATTCAGCACTGATGGTCCTCTCTGCAGGAGCAGCCCCCCACCCCCCCGCCGCATCGAGGGGAATTCTTTATCCTAATTAAATGGGTTAGTGCCATTATGCAAATCCGTGCCAGACTGGCAAAGCGTGGAATACATACGATACAGTTTTTCTTTGATTGCTGGTCTGTAACAGCAGCCATGATCTCTGCACCTGGGTTTTCTGCGTGATGCAAGACGTTTTCTGTTAATCTAAAACATTTTTGGTTTTTTTTTAAGAGCTCGAGGCCAGGAGTCTGTGCACAGCTGGAGCAAAACTTTACTTTGTTTTCATGATCGTGAATGTCGGGAGGGCGAACGAAAGCTGGGTTTTCACTCCTGGTGAGTTTTCCTGGACAAACGGAGTCATTTATTTCACGGTGGGGTGCTCTCTGTCACGTCATTGAGCAGCGTGTGTCGCTTGGGGAGGCAGGGGCTGACCGGCTAAACGCTTTGTATGTCTGCAGGGCAGGATTAAATGAGGAGTAGGAATAGGGAGAGTGTTGGAAAGTGAGAGAGGGATGCAGACAAGAGAGCGAGAGAGAGAGAGGGAGCAGATGAGTGGGGCGGGGCACATATCCTGCAGAGAGCCTGACAGCATGAGGCAGGGGGTTACGGACCCCGTGCATCTGTGTTTGTATGAGCTGTGAGCTCAACCGGCCCTGTGACAGTCAGGCTCAGCCCTGGAGCAGCAGCAGGAGTGACCTCACCAAGGAGGGGTGGGGAAGGGCGGGCTGAGGGGCGGGGCCTTCCCCGCCACGGCGCCCCACCATGGCGCAGGGCCGCGCCCCCAGGCCCGTGCACGACGGCATGGCGTGAGGCGACAAGCCCGGCGACTCACGAGCGAGCGGTTCAGGTTCAGGAGGCACGCGACACAAAGGCTACTCTGCAAGAGTCAAAGCCGGGGACCGAGTCTCGCACATGGGTGAGTGCTCAGGCCGTTTTACCGAGCACCGCGAATTACGGAAGGCTTCGTGTTTGTACGTGTTTAATTTCCGACGCTAATCGGACAGAGCGGCCGGGGTGGGGGAGCAGCACACCTTAATCCTTTCATAAGAGTCACGCTGCCGCGATTCTGGCTTGCATCCGAGACTCCCACGCCCAGCCAACCTCTCTGAGTAGACGCTGTTGGGCCGTTTCCTGTTATCGGAGGTGCGGTCGTGCCATCGATTCCTGGGAGACAGTGGCAGGACTCCAACGTCTGCCGAAACCCTGGGGTGGGTTAACAGGATTTTGGATACAGTAGCAGTGGTTTAGGACTGTTATGAGCTGCAGGATATCAGTGTCTGCGCTTAAAGATGCAAACCGTACAGTATCTGCTATAGATTTCCCCATTTTTTTTTTGGGTGTAGAACCCTAACGCTTCTGCCTTCACTGTCACAGTGATTCGCTGTTTGCTGGGAGTGACTCTGGTTTCTGGATTCTGGTGCCGCTGTCAGCTCTCTGCGCGGGTTTCGCCGTCAGGGCTGTCCCGCTCCATCCTGCCCCAAACACATGCCTCCGGAAGGATGTCGCCGGCGCATATCGGTTTGTTTATTCCCTTCCTCAGGACGTTTGCGCTGCGTCTGATGGGTCTGCAGCTTTGACCTGCCTGTCAGGCAGCGGTGTGCACCGTCATGAATATTTGGGCTGTACATTCACAGAACTTGGACTCCTGACAGAACTTGTCATGTTATCCTTCTGTTTTGGCCAAGGCTATATTGTCTCCTTGTGTTTTCATGTCTGTCAGCCCCTTCTCCCTACCCTGTCATGGGTCATATTGACTTTTGGGGGGGGGGGGGGGGTTTCTGCAGATGGTCAGACAGACAACACAAGGACCCCTCAAATCGAAAGGGACGCATCTTCAGGGCCACAGGAAGCTCTCAGGGGTGGTTTGGGGGGGGGGGGTCGGGGGTAGGGTTACTTCTTTCCTTTCCCTTCCCCTGGGAGAATTTGGTTCCCAGAAATTCTTCTCATATTGAGAGTCACCTTTCGGGGAAGAGCGGAGCCAATCAAGGGTTCTGGGTCCATGTGGCTAAAATCCACAAACTAAAAGGACAGTGGGACCGTGCCCCCCCCCCCCCCAAAATGGACTGAGCCTGACCTCAGATGGTGGCTCGTTACTGGCAGCCTTCTCTCAAAGAGGCAGAGTTGTTTCAGCCTTGGTGATACTCCGAGCCCCTCAGCCAACGCTAGATCTCTGAAGCCGACGGGAGACTGGATCTCCACGGCCCCCCCTGCCCCCGAGGGGAGACGAGGCTTTTGGCCCTGCCAGCTTGTTCCCAGTCTGTAGGATCAGGACTGTGGCCCTCTTCCAGTCCCTTTCCATGTTCTACTGGGCCAGAGCCAGTTCCCAGAACCTACTTATCTACAGGATGTCCTGAAGTGACCGCAGACATTTTTTTTTGTTTGTTTTTATGACAACGACCAAGTTTTTTTGCGACTGCTGTAGTGTTGCTTATTTTTACTGGCCTGCTGTTTGTGGCTGTACTAGAGTGTGACCATCAATGTAGCTGAAATTTGCTGGAAAGGGGCCAAAATGTACTTTTTTGTTAGAGTTTGACCCAGTCGGTAACATTGGAGGCTGTAATTCAGAATCCGGCAGTGACACGCTCATGGATGTCTGCATACCATTAGTAACTTTATCATTTGTCATGGTGTGCCCCCCCAGTGCCAGATGTTTTGCAGGTAAAAATATTGTTAAAATATGAAATTATAATGGAATCAGCAGCACCAGTAGCTTCCCCATGCTTGCTGCTTGAGAGAATGTCGCCATACGGACCATAGACCCAGATCAAGACTTCACATCACATTGCAGCCCCTTGGTCTGAGGACCCGCCCCTCGCTCTCTGGCCACGCCCCCTTAACACCTGAAACCACAGCCATGTCTCCTCCTCTCTAAAATAAGGAGTGCTAAAGTAGGGAGGGGAAAAGCTTGATTACCTGCAGTTCCTTACAGAAAACCTCAGCTCCACGGATCTATCCGTCTGTCTTTTCCTATCAGGGTCCTGGAGCCTATTCCAGGCAGCTCAGGGCTCAAGGCTTGGATGCACCCTGGATGGGACAGCAGTCTGTCACCGGACACACCTACACACTTAATCAGACACTATGGACAATTAGAGATGCCTATCAGCCTGACTGCATGTCTTTGGACTGCGGGAGGAAAGTCGAGCACACGGGGGAAACATGCAGGAGCACGGAAAGGACGTGCAAGCACGCGCAGGACGAGGAACGGGATTCGAGCCCCCGGCTGTGTAGGTGCGAGGCTGCAGCACCACTCGCCAAGCCACTGCGTGCCTTTCCTGCATAATTACTATATAAAGTTGATTCATGTTTGTATGCTTCTGTAGGGCTTCAGCACTGGTGCTGTACAAACTACACAGGATGAGAGGTAAATTCAGATGAGGAATTGAAAGGGATCTGGACATACGGTTGCATTATAAGCACGGCCTGGCGTGACTCCCACTAAATCTGACTCGCTTGGTGGTCAACGCACTTATTGTGGCTCCTGAGAAACCTTCCAGCTGGCAAAAGCGACGTAAACAGCCCGCTGATGGGAAAACTCGGGGAAAGTGTTTGGGTGGCAGGTTCTCACGCAGATTCGTGTTCCGAAGCGTGGGAGCCCCTTCCAGTCGGAGAGGGGTTATGATTAACAGTAGCTTACGAGAAAAATCTGCCGACCTGTTGCGTTATATTCGGTGGTGCTTGGCCTGTCATTAACTACGGGCGACGATTACGGTCTTCCTCCGCCGCTTCTTTCTGTTTGTGGAAAAATGAGTGCCGCTCTAACGAGTGGCGAGGCCGGCACGGCTTTCGCTCGAGCGTGAAGGTGTAACAGGAAACGGGATGTTTCAGTGGAACTTTCCGAGAAATGAACGCAGGCGTCTGTCAACCCAGGGGGCGGGAAAAAAAACTGTGAAATGAAGCATTAAGGAGCAGCATTGTCACCAAAACCAAGAGGAGGGGCAGCAGAAGTGTCTTTTACGAAAGAACGTGTGGAATTTTTCTCACGTTGAGCAGTGTTCAACATAGGAGATTCCCTCGAGGAGAATGTCTGTCACTGTAGGCGCGTTCAGACCCAGCTGACTGTCCTTAAGGAGGGGTACGGTTAAAGAGATTAGAATGTGGGGATATCACTTATTTTATGTGTGACCTTTCTTGAGCTTAGGCCATGTGAACTTGAGAACCTGTCGTATGCAACTTTGGATCGTCAGTTGGGAGTTATCAATTAACTTGTTAGCGAAGAGTTGGTGTAATCCACATGGACATTGTACACTTTGTCTGGCACTATCAGGTTAGTCCTTACTGAATTATTATACATTGTTCTCTCTATACATAGAAGGCGTTGGTCACTTGGTAATTGAACACTGGTCACTTGATGCCTCCCTAAGCAGGTTCTGGTCTCCCTTTAAGTGTCTTCTAGGTAAACACGCGTTTCTGGTCGATAGCCAGCTGCCTTCCTTGGCTTGTTAGTGTTTGGCTCTCAGGTTACCTGAAGCGGCAGTGAGTGAGCTCTTGTGGTCGCCGTTCTGCTGAGTAGTGAGCCTTGGCCCAGCCATGCAAACAGGCTGCCGTCTGCCTTGCTTTGGCTACGAGCCTCTGTCGTTGTGATGAACGGGAACACTTGAGGTGCCCCCTCTGTGCCTGAAGGTCCCCTCTAACCAGACTAGAGATGCTCCAGAATTGTCTTTAATTATGAGCTCTGACCTGTTACTGTGCACTACTGGAAACTTTGGGGGCTTTTTTCTGTGGCCTTTGAGGTTTATGCGGTAGTCGGGTTCCTCTGTGCGCAGATCTGCACTCTGATGTTGAGCTCAGTGGAGCTCCAGCTGAACTCACCTCCGTTAAGTTGGTCTGCTGCTGCCCTCTGGGCCTGTGTGTGCCAGGCCACTAGGGGGCGCTGCCGCTGACCAGGTCCTTCCTTTTCAAGTTTGCCCCCTGCTGGCTGCCCATCGCTCCTCATGCCCCAGCCTTTACACTGCTCCTCCCTCCCCCATTGGCTGTCTGCCGTCGCACGTGGCCACTCCCATGCTTCCGTGTCACTGTCTCCCTCATCTGTCGCCATGGCGTCAGCCGGCCTGAAGCCCCGCCCCCTCATTTGCCCAGGGCCGGGCCGCTCGTGAGTCTTGCGATGGCTTTCAGCTGACTAACATTATCTCTGTTTGTCTGTTTGTTTCCCCCCCACCCCCCGTCCTGCTTGTCCTATCTGTCATCATGTCGACCCCATGCCTTTCCCATGTGTGTGCGTCCCCGTCTGGCCGGACCCGGCCACCCTCCCACTCTGCCTCACCCCTCGCCTGCAGCACCATGCCGAGATCAGGGACCCCCCTGCGACATCAAGTGAGTGTCTGACCTTTGGGGGGCTGGACGCAAGTGGGGAGAGTGTCTGTGTGGGGAGTGGAGGGAACCCTGATCCCTTTAAAAAAGATGGAATGATGATGCATGGTGTATATATGTGTATATATATATATATTATAGCTGTCTCAAAGCATGATGGACTGTACCATGTTGCCCGTGTGGGGGGAGCCACCTGCACCTGAGCCGTTTGGGCATTCCCACACGGTAGCCCTGCCTCAGTGGTCTGCCTCAGCTTAGGTGCCCAGTACATCACTTTCTATGAAAACGATCAAGACGTTGTTATTTATTTGTTCCTGCTGTGTCCTGCACTGCATTCTGCTGTCGCAGTGACTGACTGCTTGTGTACAGACACATGCATATGCTTTAAATCCCCCAGCCTTGTGTGGATTTATTTAGCCGAGATGCGGTGACCTACTTCATCGCTTCACCAAGCCACACGCACACACAGATCATAGCTTGTTTACTACCAGCCATCGTGTCATCATGGGGGATTATGTCATATGACGTGTGCAGATTTAAGATGGACACGCATGGGATAGAGATGCTGTTGTTGTTTCTTGAATGTTTGTGGAATAACTGCTCAGTTTTAGGGGAGCCGAAGACTATTGGGATTCCAAATTGTGGAACGAGTGGACTAATTTCAAAAGCACATTGTGTTTTAATTTCGGTGATGTTAAGGTTAGGAAATCAGGAATGAATAAATAGTGATCTTTCACAGGTATTCCACAAGGGGGCAGGCTTTACTGGTGTACAGGCAGCTTTCAACTTGGGTTAAACCGACTTGTGCAAATCCAAAAAAAACATCTGAGATGCATAAAATTTACAGACGGTGATTTGCCATGAAAATACATTTGAGCTTCAGCTTTTCATTTATTGTGCTCGCTGGATGGGTTTATGGAAGGGATTACGTCCGTGAGTGGAGGATCCGGGTTATCAAAACCTAAAACTGCAAGAAGAGACTTTTGTGAACTGAGATAAAATACGAAAATAAAGTAAAAAAAAAAAAAAATACATCTAAACGAAGCCTATAAATATCGCTTCTTAAATAACTGAAATAAAATAAAAGGAAGCTTTTTAAATACTTGTCTAGCTAAGGTAATGATTTGTTTGATCTTTAATGACCATTGTTAATACCTGGAACATGTTTAGCTAATTCTATGGCCATAAGTACATGTGTGGTGTGTAAAATTCATGTAGAATTCTGCACTATATTGAAAAAACAATCCCAATATAATTTTTTTTAGATATTTATAAAGCAAAAAAGGAGTTGAAAACTTACCCAAAATAAACTTTAGCCAAATAGAACTTATTATCTATCAATAGTGTTTGTCAGATAAATTGATTGTTGCTGTGATACTGCTTGATTCTGCTTGGTATTGTCTCTGAAATCCGCAATATTTCCATACTACAGAAGACGGAATGGCTTTTTTTGTGGCTGCAAAACAATAAACTGTTGATAAGGAACTGCTGGATAGTAAAACACATCAGAGACGAATGCAACCATACGATTGGCTGGAATTGTCCTTTAAGAACAGACAACCTACACCTTACAAACGCAGAGCAAGGTTGATGAAGTCAGCGAAGCAAACCACGTCACGTCACATGCTGCTGTTTTGGTAACAGCATGGAAGGGATGAGCGTTCCCTCAGAGGAAGGATAAGGTGATGGAGAAGAGGGGGACAGCTTAGAAGCCACATCTTTTACAAAAAGAAGATGTCAGACCCATCCCCTGGAACAAGCATCAGGCAATCAGAGAAAACACATTACATCTATCCATACAGTCAGCATTTTGTACTGTTGCGTCCTATCGCAAAAAAAAGCTTATTTTTGTATGATTTGTTAATTACAATTAAATTTCAGTTTGTAGTCCATTGAATTTGTTGCCTTTTTTCTTGTTTGGAGTCTAAGGGCAATTCTAGTGGAATATTAAACAAGAATAAAACCTCAAAGTAGAGAAATATTGACTTGAATTAAATCGTAATGATTATTGATATTGACTAATATGAAAAAAGAAATACTGTATGTTTTGCTATATCGCCTAGCCCTAGGCATGATGAATGAGGGATAGCTGGGAAAGGTTGAGAGACGCTGCACTGGATAATCTTGAAAGGCTTCAATCCATAGTGTTTGTTGGTATGAGCCGTTGTCTCATAAGAGATTTTTAGGTTTGATAATGCTGCACAACAAAGTTTTGGCTTCTTGTTGTTGGGTGTTCCTTATAGATTTTTGGCTGCTGATCACGAAAATCACATCCAAATTTGCCCATCACGTACCGTTTCATCGAAATCTTCAGTTTTCTCATGTTTTTTTCCTATATTTGTGTCCAAAAATTTTGGTTTCTACAAGAGACCTATCAACAGTGTTTTGTACAGTCTGGGAATGTCCAGGCATGGAATCAGGCCGGGATGGTAACTGTTCTGTGGGAGTTTGCAGCCCAGGCCTGGGTAGGCCAGAGCCAGCTTGACACTGCCTCAGCAGGCTATAAGAGTACTCAGTGGGTTAATATAGACCTGATAGTGTGTATGTATTGTTTCAGAATGTAGCACTGCCTCAGTAGCAATGTAACAAGTAAGCTAGATGCTATAGACATTTCCAGGACGATTGGTGTCGTCGATACATCTTGTCAATGTCGTAACAGCCGCGATACATTCTGCTATATTTGTGGTGAATATACGCTTGCGCCTCAGAGATGCTCAATGACTGCTCTTGTGAAGAAAGCATATAATCTGTACTTTGGATGTAAAATCAGTGATCAAGACAAGGAATGGGAGCCTGACATCTGTTATGCGACATGTGCTGTCTGTCTGAGTGCCTGGCTCAGAGGCACTCGAAAGACAATGCTGTTTGCTGTCCAGAACAGAAAGACCATGTGACCAACTGTTACTTCTGTTTGACTAATGTGCCTGGTTTCTCTGCCAAAAACAAGAAGTCAATTGAATACCCTAATGTGCTTTCAGCAATGAGAACCGTGCCACATGACAACAGTCTTCCAATTCCGAAACCACCAGAGGAAGGGACCTTAGACGAACCAGATGAAGAAACTGCAATGCAGGGAACTGGCAGTGAGAATGATCTGGATTTTGAACGGTGCTCATCAGAGTGGTGATGGAGTGGTAGCTCTGAGGCTGGGGTTCTGTGCGAGCAATCAGAAGGTTACTGGTTCAAATCCCATGAATGCCCAAAGTGATTCTACTCTGTTGGGCCTTTGAGCAAAGCCCTTAACCTGCAATTGTTTCACCCTGGGTATGATGTTAATCTTCAAGGCCCTGCAAGGAGGTCCTACAACTTACAGGGAATAACTTGGGGGTTGGTGGCAGGATTGGCACTCCAGCCACTGGAAAAAACCTCCCACTGGTCCATTCGGACTGGTGTGGTGTTGAGGTATCACCCGCCACATGGCTGCACTCAGGTTCTCATCCCTGAGGTGGTTTATCGTGTCGTGGGTGTGACAATGCACTGTAATCCGTGCATGCTCCTTACCCCCCCTCCCTCATCAAATGATCCACATCTCATAACACAGACAGAATTGAGTGATCTGGTCAGAGATTTGGGTCTGTCGAGAACAAAAGCTGAATTGCTGGGTTCGAGACTGTAGGAAATGCTGTTTGCTGGCACCAGGTATGAACATTTCTGCTGACTGCTCTTGAACACTGCAGTGTGATGCACTGATATTGAATACAAACAAAAATCAAGAATAAAGCACTGCTAATTATGTTGAACTTAATAGCGTATGAGAATCATAAACGCGATTAAATACGTTATTGCTGGTAAAGAGTTAACTGTCTATTTCTCAGAGTTCCTACGTGATGCAGCAAAACCAAAACTATATTTGTGCAAACCCACCAGGTACCTGTCGCAATCAGCAAAAACTTTTCAGGAAGCAAAACTTAAAATATATATATATATTGTTCAGTGTCTGCATTGTGTGCTTGTCCTTCTGATGCTAATGTTGTCGCGATACCAAAATTTCAGATTTCGACCAAGAAAAGTATTTAAATTCAGTACCATTTTCGAAACGCAGCTGTATATAATGTAACTCAATAAAAAATGTATTTCAGTTGCAGTTTTGTTTTCTGTAAACAACCTTTTCTAACTCGTACTGAGGTCAAAGCCGTGTTTGTAGACAGAATACATAAAAATATTAAAACCTATTAAGTAAGCGTTCGAATAAAAAGAACAGGAGCGTGGTCTTTTGTGAATAGTAAATAAACCTTTAAAGTAATGAAAACAATGCAGTGCAACTCTTCAGAAAAAAACACCAAAACAGATCACTGTTACACTTAAATGTTAAGCATAAATGCAAACAACGCAACTTAAAATTTCTGTAAATGTCCAAGTTCTTTGCAAGGAGGTCTAGCATGTCAATGCTCTCAGCTGTTAGCCGTTGCCCTTTTTGGTCTGCAAATGAGCCCAGATGTACTAAATATACGCTCTGAAGCACAGCTAGAAGCAGCAATGCACAACTACTTCATTGCAAGTTGAGCAATGGTTTTTCTCATTGGTCTTCCACCATACCAGTAGATCCTCTTCCGCCATGAATTTAAGCACCTTCTTGTAAACTGTGAACTCATTTTTGAGGTCCCCAGCTTCAGATGATGGTGATGGAATGTGCTGACTTGGGTTCCTGTTCTACCCCTGTATGTTTAACAGCCCTTCGGAACAGTTTTGCTTTTCGTTGTTAGTTGCTTGGCCTTTGAAGAAAGTGTGTTCTGGATTTGGGTTTGCATTTCGAGCAAATGAACACTCTTATTCAGCTTTGACTTGACTTACTTTGCGAAGACGACAACACTGTCTTTAAACCTTGGGCTAAGATGTAGATGCGTTAAGAACCAGCTGCAGCAGGTTGTCTTTGTATCTTTGTCTTACGTATTTTCGTTAAGCTGCAGTCTCAAGTTGCTTTCATTCTACTCAGCTGTCAAATATGAAAAAATCTTCCTGGTTAACAGTAGCACAGAAAAGAGGGAGGTGTGTTTTTCACAACAAAGGGCGTCACTGACAGAGTTTGCTGGACTCGAACGTTTTTCCAGCTCCACCCTTGCTGCACTCTATCGATTAAGCGCAGTGAGGAAAGTTCTGATGCTTCTGAGCTATTCATCCCTGTGTGTGTCAATCTGCTCTCTGGTCTTACATGAGCACTGGTAGCCTATGAGTCTCAGCCATCAAAACAAACCTGAAGGGCAGGCTGTAGAATCGATGGCATGAAAAATGAGTATTGAAACCATTTTATGTATGATAGAATTGATATTATCTAGTTTCCGTATTCCAAGACATCACCCATAAATACACTGCTCATGACCAGCAAGTCAGAAGCCTTCCACGGCCCCCCCAATCACCAGAACTAAACATTACTGAACCTCCATGAGAAATTCGGGTTAAGTTAAGCTCTCATATTATTGCTTTCCTATGAGGATTGAAAGGATTCTGAAAGAAAGGCTTGTCCTACTTCTTAGTAGATCCTTGACATTAATGTATTGTTCAGTATTTCCATTGTTTTGCACACCTCGATTTGGGCAGAAGCATCACTAAGCAGGTGACTATAAGTGTTGACCTTCAGATGTAGGATGTGTATGTTTTGATCCTGGAAGTCCTCACGCCGCTCTCTCCTCTGTTCCCCCAGCTGCCTTAATGCCCAGTGACGATGCCCAGCTCCTGACCCCGGGAAGGATGAGTCAGAGGGGGAAGGAGAGCCTGCAGGTGCCTGGCAGAGACCACCCGAGCAGCCCCTGCGCCAGCCCCGGGGGCAATTCCGGCCATGGTAAAGCATACCGTCGCAGGTCTGCAGTGATGGAGCCATTCAGCCCATTACCCCTGTTTTAATGAAAGCAGTTGCATTACGTGTGTGATGGCAGAGTATGTATTGGATAGCAGCGTCTGCTAAAATAAATAGAATGAAAAATATCAAATAAATACATTCAGTGCCACTAGAGGGAGCAGTAAGACAACTGGAATTTTAGGCACAGCCGTTAAATGGCAAAATATAACAGACTGACTAAACTTGCTTAAGACATGAGCTTTTAAAATAACCTTTGACTTAACGAAAACCAGTATATCGGGAGACGGTCCCGAGCTGGACCGAGTAGAGGCGGCGTTGGTGATACTGCAAGACCATCTGGTACAAACACTGTCGTTCGGTCAGGCAGGATTTCAGGAAGCGCCGTCCTAAGCGACCGGACCCTTGGCAGGATTCTCCCGGGACGCCTTCCAGGGCAGATCGTTGGCACGGTGGCCAAATGGCGGCCAGATCCACACTGACGGACGGCGGGTCCCGGTGACGTTTCTTAGCGAGTCATAGAGTTATTTTGGGTGCAGCGGGATTATTCCTCTCATGTTTTTCAAATTAAAACTCCTTCAAAAGTCGTTCCAGCCCAGAGAACATCTCCTGCTGTTTCAAAGTGATCTGGCTGTCACTTTAACACAGTGCTAGCATGAAGAACGCAAGAAACCTTGAGGAAAACCTTCAGCCATTCAGCTCCTCACAGATGTTTGCAGTCCTCTTCTCCCTGGTTTTTTTTATTGGTTTTTGTTGTAGTCCAGGCAGTGATTGAGAGTATGCAGGAGCTTCCTCCCCAACACGTCTCTTCCATGTCACGTGGTCACTGTCTGACAGGAAGTGGTGACCAAGGAACTCATCTGCCTTGAGTCCACTGCACAGAGCAACAGAATGGAAAACTTTCCCTAACCCCCATACATCCTTCCTGCGAATGGTCACCTTTTAGTAAAGGCGGCCTAGAGCACAAAGCTGGATGGGATGCCAGTCTATCACTGGTAAATTACCTTCATCATTTCTAATGTATGCAAGACTTATGAGAACTTAGAATATGTGTAATCGGTCAGCCTCAGCCGATCCGCACTGTGTGTACTTTCCCACGAAGGACAGATCTAAGGTTGTGTAAACGTATCGCCATCTGTACCTGTAGGTTAAACACAACACAGTTTCCCCCTGAATATATAAGGTGTGTTGTCCTCTCGCCAGTGACACCCAGGTTCTTCTCAGGTGTGGGTCGGGCAAGGGGTGGTCACACGGGGTCAGTCATGCGGTACCAGACCTGAGCAGGTGGATCCATGTACAGCCGGGTAATAGCAGAGAATGTGCCTCAGTGAATGTGTCCCCCCCCCCCCGGGACACACACGTGACATAGAAACGCCGGGAATTGCAGTCCTAAAGGAGCTGACCCAGTAGAGTGCAGTCTCACAGCCCCAGGGTGCTCCGTGCCTCTGTGCAGACTCCTCCTCCTCTCACATTTCTAGGCTGCCGCACCGATTGGCTGAATTTGTTTTACCCGTTTTCTTTTAATTGGCTTGCTGATGGTTTTATGCAAAGCAGCTAATTTTTTATAGAGATGAGTATTGTACTGAAGGAAATCTTCCTCATGGTATGAGGGGCCAGATTCTACCATCCACCCATCCATCCATCCGTTCATTCTTGTCTCCATCTTCCAGTCTCTTACCCAGTACAGAGTATCAGGGAATTTGAGCCTGTAGCAGGCAGCTCAGGGCACAAGGCACAAAGAGTTCACCCTGGAAGGGATGCCAGTCCATCGCCAAGCAGCTTTTACACCTTCTAGTTCTTGCCTGACTTCTTTAGCCACTGTGCCCCCTGCTGGTCATGAATTGCCCATGTCTTCCCTACAGTTCTTAGTGCCCCTGAAACACAGTTCTTAATAAACTGTGCTTGTTGTGGAGGCAGAGTTGGTGGCTTCCATTAATCAGACTGTTCTGTGTTTACTTCTGCTGATACTGTACTGTTTGCAGCCACCCAGCGTTTCCTTCTGTTTACATTTTATATCTTGTATTTACCTCGCCTGGGTTTCATAGCGAGCCTGGTGCTGGATTTCCCCTGACACTTGCAGACAGTTTGTCGACACTGAGCCTCATGTGGCACAGTTAAGGCAGATCCATAATTACACCCGACCTGAGTCGGTTCCGATTCCAGGGGCCTACCCCATGGGCTTCCATTTCTGAAGTTGCTTGGTGACAGAATTACATCAGCCTTTTTTTTTTTTTTATGGAGGAACCACATGCAGTCCTCCCAGACTCGGGTGTCAGGAGGGCTGTCATGGAGGCAGAGAGTACGCTGTCATGGAGGCAGAGAGTACGCTGTCATGGAGGCAGAGAGTACGCTGTCATGGAGGCAGAGAGTACGCTGTCATGGAGGCAGAGAGTACGCCACCTGCTGTCGGTTGCTGTACATTGTGGCAGTTTGCCGTATTACTCCCAGGTAGCCGGGCCTCTGGAAGCCGCTGTATCATAAGAAGCAATCCGTGTCCTCTGGTGCTGCTCTGAGAGCTGCATCACCCCCACCGTGTGTGTGTGTGTGTCTGTGTGTGTGTGTGTGTGTGTGTGGGACCCACCCCCTCTTCAGTGGGAGGAGCTGAATGCGCAGAGACTCACCCAGAGATGGCGCCGCGATCCAGAGGGCTGGCTGGCTGAGGCGGATGTGATGTTGGTTCCCGCTGATTGGCTCGAGGAGGGCNGGGGGGGGAGATGGGGAGGGGGGAGAGGGACGCAGCAAAGGAGGCTCGACGCATTTTTCTGGGAGAGTATCTCCACGCTGTTGCCAGACAAGCCTCCAGGACTGATTCGCCTGAGTAGATCCTTCTCGGCCCCCCTCCCCCGCCACATCCATGACGAAAGAGGAGGGACCCCGGGGCCGCCGCCGCTTCTCCATGTGCACCGGGGTGGCCGTGGCTTTCCCGCCCCGCCGGGATGGCCGCAAGCTCATCCGGAATGCCTCCTTTGGGGGCTACCATGAGCTGCCACCTGTCCTGCAAGGTGCGTGCTGCCGCTGCCGAGGGCTGGCATCTTCAGTGTGGGCATCGGGGCTGCAGGGGGCATAACACTCAAGGAGCTGGTCTTTAAGTCTGTGCTGGTGCTGGTCTGGTAGCCGTGTCGTCCGGTGGCTCAGCGTGAGCCTCACTGCTGTCCTCCACCTAGGCTCAGTGCTGTTTCCGACCTCTCTAACCTGGGTTGTTTTTGGAAAATAAATATAGATATGGCATGTGGGTGGCTGGGTGTCAAGTCACAGTATGAAAGGTATAAAAATATCGTGTGAGTAGTCGCCAGGATTGAGACGATTTGTGGTCTTCCTGTTAAAGCTGCTATCTTACTTTTACGACTGTTATCTCTGCTGTGTGCGAGAATCGTGGCTCGTTCTGGCCTTCTGTGGAGGAATGCTTTTGGTTGACACTGTGAAATAAACTAAGTCCGTCCCCGGACCATGTTCTCCTCCATCGCCGGTGGCCGTCCATCTCCGATCTGCATCCTCCGTCCGCATTGGCTTCCGTCACCAACAGGTCTCCGTCCCCCATCTGCATCGGCCTTCATCCCTGCTGGGCACCAGTCACCAGTGGGCGTCCATCCCTGATCCCCATCAGCCATTGACACCGGTGGGGGTCCGTCCCTGATCCACGTCTCCGATCTGAATCCATCCATCCCCAATTTGCATCTGCTGCCTATTCGTATTGACCTTTGTCGACGGTGGCCTTTGTCCATCCCTGATTCACGTCTCTGATCCGCATCCGCCTGTCGCCGCGCGTCCGTCCCCTATCCATCAGTGGATTCTTCCCTTTTTCTTGAGGACCAGTCTCCTCCTGTAACCCTTCATGCTATCATGGTGTAGCTGAACATTAGCTCTCCCTGGGACACTCTCACACACCCGCTGTGCTGTGAAGGCAGCCTTCTGCCTTAGGTCCGTCCGAGCTTGTTAAGAATCCCGATAACATCCTCACAGGCTTCTCTGCTTTGATCCCTTCGCTTTTAGTGTCACTCGGCGACGCTGGAGGAGGAAATGAAATGTTCGTCTGCTCCTCCTGCTCAATGCTCAGATACAGTGCATTTGTTTCTGTGGTACATTCTGCATGTCATCTGTTTGAACAGGGGCTGAATGACATCAGACAGGGATTCGGCTGGTAATGATGATTCAGTAACCAGCCGCTGATGTGTTAATTACATTTAAAAGTTTTCTCCATAGTTTTGGTCAGTGCTGTAGGAGAGAATTTGATACTCATGGGGGGCATAACTGAATAATTTAAATACAGAAGCCGATTTGTTTGGGGGGGGTAAATGAATCCAAATTAAATATTGGGGGGTGCACGGGCTCCTTCGTTCCTACACCTTTGGTTAAGTTAAATAAGCAAGTCCTCCCTGTAAACATTCTCTGCTGTGAGGGCTGAACCATGCTTGTGTTTTGGTAAAGACTGGGATGTCATAACCAGTCCACTAGGACAGTGTTTCTCAATCCAGTTCGCAGGCACCCCCAGACATTTTCACTCCCTCCCAGCTCCCTGTCAGACAGTCCACATTTTCGCTCCCTCCCAGCTCCCTGTCAGACAGTCCACATTTTCGCTCCCTCCCAGCTCTCTGCCACACAGTCCACATTTTCGCTCCCTCCCAGCTCTCTGCCACACAGTCCACATTTTTGCAAAAGCAGGGACTGTCTGGGGGTCCCTGAAGTCCCGTTTGACAAACTCTGCATTAGGAGTCTTCAAACGTTTCCCTTTTTTTTTTGGTTTCCCGCCATCCCGGAGTTTGGCAGCTGCCGGTTCTGCCGGCGCCACCCCGGTTACCTCGCCCGGAGTTTGGGGTGGCGCTTACACGGGAGACGCATTAGCACCACGTTAACGATCTGGGAAAAAATCCACCCGCAGGCTATTTTTGTCACGAGTGCATCAGTAATATTTAAAGGTTGTTCATTAAGCTGCTGTGGTTATTTCTGAGGCGGATCGATTCTGGAGGATCAGAGCCTGTTAACCCAAAAAAAAAACCAGGATGTCTGTTTGGGTCGCATCCGTATCGACTCGCTGGCCTTGCTGCAGCACGGCGTTTCGCCGACCTCGGCGCCTCATGAAGTTTTTATGGTTTCCTCGTGAGCGGCCTCTCGGATCCCTCTGGGGACGCTGGCCGTCGTCAAGGAAGCTGCCCGCAGGCAAAGCCTCACCACCGTGCCGCAGGTCGCACCCCCGTGACTGGCACCGAATGCCGTGTTGAGTACATACTATACTGCCTACTTAGTATCTGGGGATGTTTTATGGTTGACCCATTTAAGCAGGTTTATAGTACCTAGATACCCTTAATATGTCACTCCTGGAGGTTTGGGGAGGTGTGTGATTTATGGGGACTCGGGGGGTACAGCACAGTGTCTGGAATTGCAGTGCTTTGTGGGGGCCAGACTATAGCCGCATGCCAGCCGGGGAAAACCAGTGCTGGCCACTGCTTCAGACAGGCCCCACGCTGAAGGCCGTATACCGGGAATGTCTCCCCACCAGCGGGGCTTGGAGGGCGATAGCGGGGGCAGGTGGGGAGCTGAGAGGCCAGGACAGCATGGAGGGATGATCGAGGGAGAAGCTCCGGCCTCGGATCAGTCGCTGCACAGCACTCGCTCACCACAGCATCCGGACGAAACGCATATCTGCTGCCTGATGTAATTTATTAACAGGTCTTACTGCTGTCAGACGGGCTTCCTCTTATTACTGCACAAGGCTTATGTGCATTTCTGTTTATAGCTCACTTTGCACACTTAATGGCAGCAGCATTTGATGAAACGATCTGTCTGGTGAAGAACACCCCCCCCCCCCCCCCAAGTAACTGGGATGCAGGGGGCACCAGAGACACGTCACCACTGTGAAATCATCCCGTCCGTCATTTTCCCATTGTTGTGTGTTTGGAGTTTAATATAACAGTGTGGGTTATATTAAACTCCAGGGTTAGACCATCTTTAATGCCCCCCCCCTCCCCTTCAAACAAGCTCGCTTCTGGGCTGCAGTACAGCCAATTAATTAGCAGGGCGCATGCTAGGAGCCCTACACCCCGCCTCCTGTCAGCTGACCAGGGGAGTGGGTTACGGCGTACGTGCTGATTGGCTGCAGAGTCCATGGTCTGCCAGCTTCACCTGGTAACAGTGGTTACCGCGAGGGCCATTTCAGGCTGTCCTCGGCCCTCAAATGCACTGACCTTGTTGCCTGTCTGCTGATTCACTCAGGGTCATTTTGAATTGTCTGCTTTCCCCCGATAGTGGCTCTGATGTAAATATGCTTACCTGAGGAACTGGAACACTGAGCAGTGATGGGGCCACTGACCAGCAAACATGCAGACAAGTTTACCGCCAAATTCCAGCCCTTCCCTGATAAATGGGCTGCCAGCGATGTCCAGCCCCTCAGCGGAGGTGCTTCAGACTCTGCTCACCCTGACAGGGGTCAACATGCTGCCTAGCCGGAGGTCACCAATAGGGGCCCCCACATGCGCCAGACTTTACCTTCCTATCTCCCACAGCATGTGCGCCCCCCCTTACCTGTCTTGGTGTTTTTCTTTGCAGGATTTGATCGAGGGAAAGATGACGTCTCCCAGCTCAAAGAGGACCCCTCCAGTTCGATATCCAAGAGCAAGGTACGGTTTTACGTGAAGGACCCTCCTCTGTTCCCGAAACATCCGTTGCACTGAAAATTCCCTGTATGTGATGAGGAGGAGCTGAGAGACCACAGGGGCAGGAGGTTGAGTTTAGGCCAGAGTGCCTGGGGAGGGGTGCTGACAGGGGTGTCAGCTTAGCAACGCCGTCTGTGTGAGACACGGGAAGCCTGCAGAGTTCCTCTCCGGCCGAGACGCACGTGTTGACAGTGACCGCTCAGCACAGGGCTTCCCCACCGAGCTGCGCGTTAAGGGGCAGACGCGGAACCTTCCAGAGCACAATCTCCCGGGGGCGGCTGCTGGGACACTGCGTGTGGCCGGGGGGGGGGAAGGGGGGGCTCGTTCAAGAGAAGTGTGAAGTCCTATGTGACATGGAAAGGGGGAGGGACGTGAATCGGGGGAAAATCACAGCCGTTACAGGGGACACTGGGTGAGGAGGGAATAAGCTTCAGCTCACTAAGGGTTCCGGGAGACTTTGGAGCTGAGTGAAAATGCTCAGCGATTAATACTCTACACAGGACATGACTGACGGCCTGGTCCCCTAACAGGTCATTGTAGCATTTGTGTCATCATGAATGTACTTGTTTGTAACACGGAGTGTAGCACTATACAGAATTCACGGTTTGGCTTCAGACCTCTCTTTTGGGTTTCACCGCAGGGAAAACAGAATTTGTTTTGAAATTATGTACTAAAAAGGCAATGCGTCTCGACATGTCTAACAGAAACTCAAGAACTGCTTAGTTCCACATTATAAAAACAATTATGTAAAAAAAAAATTATATGTGTGTGTGTGTGTGTGTGTGTGTGTGTGTGTGTGTGTGGTTATATATTTAAAGGCCGCCTTTCCCTTTAAATCGTTTATTATGGCCAGATCCTGGCTCATGTGTGATTCCCAAACACCTACTGGGGTTCTGCCCACGCCACTGCAGGGATCTAGTGAGGAAGATGGCAGGGTGCATGGGCCGTGTGTCACTGTGCCCTGTGTCACTGATCAAAGTGAGTGTATGAGCACTTGTCACCAGCGCAGCCGGCTCTTCAGTGACCAGGCCTGCACGTCCATCCATCCCTGTCATTAAGCCACCCGCTCGCCAGTGGGTACTGCAGGGTCACCGTCGGCACAGCCGCCTCGCACCCTCAACCTGTGTCATCTTATACCTCTGCAGAGAATCACTGCAGCACCATTAACTCTCGTTCCTCAAAATGATCATTAACTACCCTATTTTTCAGCTTCTCCCATATGTTCATTCACTGAAGTTCCTCAAAACTTTTCCTTGTGTTTGTAGCCATCCTCACTCTGTGATAACACAAGTTAGCCATCTAAGTCCCCCCCCCCCCTAGCTGCCTGCCATTTTTTTCATGAGCAAGAACTCAGTAAAAGGGTTTCATGCATCCATTTCTACTGACTTTGGCCCATTGGTGAGTCAGACCAGGCTTTTAGGCCAGAGGTCATTTCTGTGTTTCACCATGTGCGCCCCCAGGTGGCAGGGTAGATAAGGTTCCACAGCGATGCATGTGTGCATCAGACACACACGGATGTAACGTACCACAAATAAAGCAGGTCTGCAAGCACTTTTAAGTAGAGAGAACACATCCGTGATTAAATTAATTATGTACTTTTCCTTTGAGACATTTTCCAATTTATCGACATGAATTACTGGTGGATCCGAAGGGTCTGTGATTTACTGGCAGTCTCACACGGAAATGCATGCTGCTCTGGGACCTGAGATTAATCAGGGAATCGAGGCGATGGCCCATTAAATTTGCTGGGGTTAAGGCATCACATGGTCTGGGCTAGGTTGCCTGTGTATCACGTGCTAGACTTGGAACAGATGCAGGATGGGAATGTGATGTCACTTTGGTATGGGTCGGGATTG